AACAGTAACAACAACTTTTTGACAAGTTCAACATTTCTTTAAAATACATTCAAAATGTTTAAAAATAAACTACAAAATATTAAAGTGCAAATTAAATTATATCTGTATCTGCAACTGTATTTGATAATGTTTTGATATTGCATGGAAAAAACAGAAGCTGCACTTCATATTAGTGACAAAACTTGGTGTTTTTTGACGAGTTACTTTCATTTTTGCCTTCGACTTTTCATTTAAAGTATGTTTCCGTTCTCAGCAGGTTTCTAAGGTTTTTTTTCTACATATTAAAAAAAATTGTTAAACATCTGAGTGGCGCACTACTGCTACTAGTGGTGAGAAAGTGTATTTCACCTTATTCAAAATCAATGCGGTCCCACGGCCCTTTGCGGCCCAAAGTTAAAAACTGTTGTCCTTTTTAGGCCCTCAAGGTGGCGCTCGCGGCCCATGGGTTAAGAATCTCTGGATTATATCATGCTACTACATGGGCGGCTGTGGCAGAGTGGTTAGGGGAGTTGTCCTGCAACCGAAAGGTCACCGGTTCAATCCCCCATTCCAGCTGTCTCAGTTGTTGTGTCCTTGGGCAAGACACTTCACCCCTAATGCCTCTGATATGTGTCCCATCAGTGTATGAATGTGATTGGCACTGATTAGTCTCCATAGCTGATTGTACATGTTAGCTTTATAGGAGATATGGTAGAGTGCTGTGCAAATGGGTAAATGAGGACACAGATTGTAGTGTGAAGCGCTTTGAGTATCCTCGTTGGGTAGAAAGGCGCTATACAAGTACAGTCCATTTACCATTTACCATTTACTAGCCTGTTGGCCACTTCAGTAATTCAACTTCCCGCTGTAAAGTATGATGTTTCTCTCAAAGACTAGACCAGATAATAATAATAATTAATAATCGGTTAAAATTCACTTTATACTTGTAGTTTTATAATGTCACCCCACTGGCCATAAAGACCCCCTCCAACTCGAAGAGGCCCATGAGCCACCAGTTTATGAAATCAGTTGTAGCACGTTTTGCAGCTCCCCACATATTTTATTGGTGAGGCAAGGAGCAGAAATGGCTCTTTTGATTGTAAACGTTGCAGACCCCTGGTCTAGACATTATGTCACCAAGAAATAGCACAGTTTTAAGACGTTTGTAGAATTTTAAGTATTATTGTTTTTGCAGTGTTGTGTCCTATCGTAGAAGGCAGAAGCTACATTTGGAAATTAGGGGGGAAAAAAACGTTAATTATTCTACAAAGAAAAAAAGAATGCGTGGTTTTGTTGATGCACGCTTATCTTTCTAATCTGAGTTCAGGCTGGGTTTTAGCTGACGCCTTTTGAAGCAGCTGCAGACGTGCAGCTGTTAAATCTCACTGATCAGACATGCAGTATCACAGGCTCAGATTGCTTTTGCAATGACTTCGACTTCTCCACTCACAAGATCAGACTCCGTTCATTAGCATCAAATAACAACCCCTCACATCTTTCAGATTTTACTGGTAGSCCACCCACAGTTTGCTCAAAGTTARGCATGCCACATCACAGCACGGCCAGATGTTTGCCAGTGGCCACAGCTCAACCTGTCCTGTCATGACTCCTCAGA